TGCTGATGCAAAGAAGGGGAGTACTACAACGTGCCCATTCCAGAAGGGGATGAGGAGGGGAACGCGGAGCTCAGGCAGAAGTTCGAGGTGAGGACACCCACACACCCTCCAGGGCCCCTTTCCTTGAGAAAGCTTCGCTTCAGGCAGGGCCAGGCTGGTGTGGTCACATCCCATAGCGGAAAGGCAAAGAGGAGCTTAAATGCTGCTCTTTCTCTTCGTTTGAAACCAGGAATAGTCCCTGATCTGCGTTTCCTTTGCAAGCAGTTGGCATTCTGTGTCTCTTAGCATCTAGAGCAGCGGTTCCTAACCTGTGGGTTGCGACCCCTTTGGGGGTCAAATGACCCTTTCACAAGGGTCGCCTAAATACATCCTGCATATCAGATATTTACATTACGATTCATAACAGTAGCAAAATTACAGTTATGAAGTAGCAACAAAAATGATTTTATGGTTGGGGGTCACCACAACATGAGGAACTGTATTAAAGGATCGCGGCCTTAGGAAGGTTGAGAACCATTGATCTAGAGAATGGAGACCAAACGTCCTGGGAAGAGGACGCGGCTGATCTCTGCATAAGAAACTGGTTCGCAAGTCTTGGGGAGCCGGGCAGGGCTCCCATGAGGAGGAGGGGCTGTGTGCCTCCAGATGGCAGGGGTCACTGTGGCCTTCACTTGGGAGTGTGTTTGGGGGCGATTGGTTCGCCAGCATCTTCATGTTGGCTCTAGATCTGTGGGGAAGGCCACCGGCTCTCTCTGCTCCCCGTTGGGTATCTGTGTTTGCCTTCTAGTGTTTTCTAGTAGAGGTACACAGGGATGAACGTTAGCGTAGGGGTAGCTTCAAGCAACTTGGCCAGGCACAACCCTTTTCCTGCTTGCTTTTTTCTTCACTTGTTGGATTATCTACTGCCTCCTCCACCCCAAGCTGAGGACAGGAGCCCCATCCCCAATGCCACGTGGCCAGTCTGGGGGATGACACAGCCGTGCTGGCTGTCCCGCCATGGAGCGGTCATTAGCGATCACAGGGGCGGGGACCACGGAGGGGAACGGTGTTGGGCATCATGAGGGGGGCACCGCGTTGATGGCTGAGACGTCGCTTTGCTGGCGGAGAAACGTTAACCCACTTTCAGTGCTTCATTCCAGGGCTTCCTGGTGAGTGGCCTTCCTGTTTTTCTGGGCAGTGAGTCCAGCTTTTTATAAAGGTCAGAGTTCCAAACTCAAAAAAAGCAACACAGACCAGAGGGCTTGTGGCCAAGAGTGCAGCATTTCGTTTCTCCCCAGAGGCTGGTTAGCGGCCGTGTGTGCGCGCCCTGCCGGTGGCTGCCCTCCCTCCCGGGAGAGCCGTGCCCTTTGCGGTGGAGCACCGGCCGCGGGCGAGTCCCACCAGACTGGAAAGGTTATGTCCGCCCAGCTGCATGCGCGGGGCGCCTGTGCGAACTCACATCCCAGCTTTCCCTTTGATGGTCTTTCAGCGTGTGCTTCCTAGAATCTGCTGGGATTCTGTTAGCATGTTTGCTTAGAGCGTTTGTAGAACACGCTGCAAGAGACTGGGCAGGAAGCCCCGAGTGATGCTGTCAAAAGTCGCCGAGGATGTTACGACACCTGCCGTCCTGCATTTACAGGGAATGTCCAGGTCGGACTCCAGGCCGGGGTTTGCTCAGACAGCGGCTTTTTGTGGGGGTTTGTAAACGATCATTGCGACATTTCCCCAGGACCAGACTGTTGAGAAGCTGGGGGACAGCCAGCCCTCCCAAATGGGGTGCCATTGGGCCTCAGGGTGCACTTTGGGGGACTGCCTTTACCCCATGCCCTCCCGCTCAGGCCTCAGTCACAGTTGGATCGCTTCCCACTGTCTCCAGCCTCCTCTCTCTGCTCCTCTCTCTCCCTGGACCTGCATTACAGACTTGCTTTCCATCATACCCATCCGCCCACACCCCAAACACTCTTTTATAGACACTTTCCAGCCTCTGGTAACAGTCTCATTCAGCTGAGTGCAATGTGTTTTCATTTAAAAGTCAGTGGTGAGTCAGATCAATGAAATACCACCTGGTAGCTGGTCCTTCTAGGGGCAGGACTCACTCATTGAACAGCATCCCTCCTCGAGGGCAGTGATTTTCAACCTGTCCATGTCAGGGCACCCGTACTGCGTGCGGCACACCAAAAAATATATTCTATCTTTTGCTGATCTGACCAAAAAAAAAAAAAATTTGGCATAACTTGGATTCATTCACATTGGACAGCTATTTTATTGGCTGTTGTCATTTTGTACATGTTTAAAAATTCTTTTTTTGTGGCACACCAGCTGAAAATCACTACTCTGGGCCATGCTTATTCTTTTCTAGAAAGAGTTCCCGAAATGTGGTTTTCAAATCCTTCCCCAGAAATCTGAAGTCATTGAGTTTGATGAAAGAAAGAATAATAATAAAACACCCAAGCAGTCATAACTGCCACTGTGCTTGTATTCATCTGATAAGAACATGGAAAAAATTTCAAATTTGTTGTTGATTTTAAAAAATCCTGGCCAACAGCATGATCAGTGAGCGAAGCTCTTAGGAGCCAGGGAAATTCCCGGGATGCCTGGAAATGACCTTACCCTGTAAGGCATCATCCCCTGGGAGCCATTCATCCGCCCGGAAGGCAAAACTGACCAGGACCTTGACCGCTGTCTCCCAGGCAGTGTGTCGGTGGGCCTTAACCTGTTCCATGGTCATCTTCAAATGAAGCACAAGAGGTCCCTGAGTCAAAAACGTAAAGTACGTATCTGTTCTTTGTTCAGTAATGTTCCAGCAATGAATGAAAGCCAGCAGTCCCTCCTGTCTGCTGGGCTCCTGTGGTCCCTGCTTCAGATCGTTTTGGAAATGAGGCAGGAAGCTGATTGAGGCATGAGCATGAGGCCTCCTGTGCCAGTCAGCAGTCCTCCGGCCCGCCCGTCGCTGGCGAGGACATCAGGTGTCTGGGCTTCCTCCAGTCCCAGGCCTCCACTGCCTGCAGGGAGGTGTGTGCAAGAGTCAGAGAGGAGGGTCGGCCTTCCCTTCGCGGCGGCTGCAGGATGGTGTAGCCCTTGCCCAGCAAACCTCTGTAAAAAGTCACGTAATAAATAGTTTAGGCTTTGCAGGCCTAAGGTTCAAAGTAAGTACTTATGAGGTAGGGGTCCCTGTGGCAGCTCCCAGCTCTGCCTCTGTAGCACAAAAGCAGCCACAGACAACATGTAAGCAAACGAACAAGGCTGGGTACCAATAAAACTTTATTTACAAAAGCAGGCGGCAGACCAGAGTGGCCGGTGGGCCAGTTTACCAGCCTCTGGCTCAGCCCTGGACTCGGGTCAAATCCTGGCTCCTGCCCTTTGTTAACCATCTGACCTCCCTGCGCGTGGCTTCACTGTAAATGGGAATAATGAGCAACGCTGTCTTAATAGTCGTGTGGGTTTGTTTTGGTTTTGGTTTTGGTTTGTGATTTTTTTGTTGTTAATCCTCACTGGAGGATATTTTTCCCATTGATTTTTAGAGAGAGTGGGAGAGAAGGGAGGGAGTTGGAAGAGAAGAAAAGAGAAACATCCGTGTGAGGGAGACACATCTCACATCCGTTGGTTGCCTCCCTCACACACCCCAACTAGGGCCGGAGGTCACATTTGCAACTCAGGTATGTGCCCTTGACCAGGAATCGAACCCAAGAACTTTGGTGCCCTGGCCAACGCTCTAACCACTTAGCACACTGGCCAGGGCAGTAGTAGTGTTTTAAAAAGATTAAATTAGTCAATAGAAAAGTCCTCCAAGCAAACTTATGTATAATCGTTAGCTTTTATCATCATCATCAAAATGTTTCACTGCAGAAACTGGGTTAAAGAGGGTGGGGTTAAAAATATTTTTTTTTTATTTTGAAAGTATGCTCTAAGAAATGGGCATTCTCTCTGTCCTGAAGTCGAGCCATTTTATGAAGTAGAGGCCTATTAGAACATTACCACCATTTATAACATTGTTTCTGTGGGAAAATAGATCCCCATGTAAATTTAGATGGGTTTCTGGAATGTGATGTGTTTGTGAATCGGGAATGTTGTGTATCTGGCAGTGGGTCAGCTGCTCTGGACAGAACAGGGTTTCGGCGGTTGACAGGGAGGAGATAGCCTCCCACCGAGGAGTCGTCCGCACTGGCCTCCACGCAGCTTTGAGGTCCTCAGCAGAGACTCAAAAGTGAGCACGTCTGACAGGCGTTTGACGTAAACCGCACGGAGAAAGGGCACAGGGTCGGGGTAGCGGCAGCCAGAGGTTAACACAGAAACGGCACCGTTACTTTGTTCTGGTCGTGTCCACGGGAAAGCTCGGTATCTCTGTTGTTTCCACGTTGCTCTTGTACAAAATCTGGGATCTGGACCGTTCATTCGCCTCTTGAGCTATGCCTAGAGGGTGGTGTACGACATTCCACTTCCAGGTGGAAGGAAAGGTATCGTCTGGCCACGCCTTTTCCTTGTTCCCAACGTCTCCAGAGGATCTTGGTGTCCGCGTCCATGTTGTCGGTGAGCGAGCATGTCCGTGTGGTGTTTATCAGCCAGTTGGGCCTTCCCCCGGGCCATGTAGACCACATCTACCTCCAGACGTGGGGTTGTCCTAGAATCAGGAAAATGGGAGGAGGCCTGGGGGAGGAGAAAGGTGAGCAGCTTCCTTCAGTGGGGCACACCCTCCCTCCTGCCAAGGGGCCAGGCTCTTCATCGTTGTCATCATTTGTTTTAGATCAATTTTTTTAAAAATGGAACAAAATAAGCTAAAAGCACACAGAGCCTTTTTCTGTCTTTATCGTAACTGTCGCCATTGGGACCATTCAGAACCACACCCATGTGAGGCCAGAATACAATGGGTGCTCATGGCCCATTAGCATGAGCTGCTCTGCGGGTGGGGAGAGAGGTCCAGACTCGATGGAAGGCCACCTCCCAGTAGGTGGCCTCTGCAGGTTGTCTGCGGGTCACATGCGTGTCTCCTTTCATTTACTCCACGGAAACATTTTGAGATGGACCCTATTGCTGATGAACAAGCGAATAGGATCCCATTCCTATTCTAGTTGAAACACTTAAATTAACATAGAGGAGACTGTCGCTAGGTT